AGAAATAAAATGGTATTTAACAGGGAGTGTACCATGTTATAGTATGTTTGCTGTGGGATGGGGTCTCTGGAAATTATATTGCTCATGCCTAGATGAGTTTTCACGCTTTCCAGGGCCTGTCTTTGGTATTCATAGTGCAAGAGTTAGACTCCTAAGAGAGTCCCTTTATCAGTCCATTGACTCTTCACCATGGCTCGGTAAAGTTGAACCCGTAAAGAAAAACGCCAAGGAGCATGCCAGGAGCTGTCTGTCTCTTGGATTCACTTTTCAAAGTCTCCTCCTGTGGGCTGTGGCCTCCCATTTCTGATAGCGTGTTTGGTAGTAAAAATAGAAGGAGCTCTTTGCTAATTTTGCACACCATTTATTCTGAACTGATGGCTGGTCTCTGACTGTATACGTTATACCATAGAATTCACCAGAAAATCTGTTAGATGAATAACAGAGTTCAGCTGATGTGAAAGACTGCGGGTTTGTTTGCTATTTTCTATTTTTAAATTTCAAAAGGTAGAGGAAGTAAGCAGGCACAACTCAAATGCAATGCCAACCACTAGCAAAGGCTGAGTGGGGAACTTCAAAATTGTAGGTGGCTACCAGCATCAGTGATCACGAAAGAAGAAGGTAACAAAAGTGAGACTAGGGAAGAATGTCACCAGTGAGTAAGAGACCACAGACCAAGGGTCTAAAAAGAGAAAGATACTCAACAGGTAAACTTCCCTAGAGACAGTACATTTCCTCACTCTCAATCTATATTTATAGAAATTGACATTAGCCTTGGGATTCTCCAGTGTGCTAACAAAAGGTCACATCTGGCAACAAATACCACTTACACTGATTTAGATGACCCAAAGACAAAACTCTGTGATAAGCCTGGTGAGAGGAAGATGGGGGAGAAAATATGGATCATCTACTAGAATCATGGAAGTTTTACGTCGAGGTTATCTATCCTAAGTCTGGCATTTACCTGAGAAAATCGAGATCCAAAGAAAGTGTAGGTTGTGTCCAAAGTCACGCAGGAGTTTAATAAATCAATCTGTTGTTCTATTTTCTTGGACTGATTCATTTGAATATTAAAATCTATGTATTGGTTCTGGGAGCTCCTCTGCTCCCAAATCGTTACTTCATTGATAATAACACTTGAAATGTATTGAATGTTATATAGCAGCTACCGTGCTAAGCACTTCACCTACATTATTTCATTTATTCCTAACAAAATACCCATGAAGAATGATGATATTGTTATTCCTATTGTGTAGCAAGAAAATTGAAGCCCCGCCATATATATATATATTTTGAGATGGAGTCTCACTCTGTTGCCCAGGCTGGAGTGCAGTGGCACAGTCTTGGCTCACTGCAACCTCTGCCTCTCGGGTTCAAGTGATTCTTGTTCCTCAGGCTCCCGAGTAGCTGGGATTACAGGTGCCCACCACCACGCCTGATTAATTTTTGTAATTTTAGTAGAGACGGAGTTTCACCATGTTGGCCAGGCTGGTCTCGAACGCCTGACCTCAAGTGATCTGCCTGTCTCGGCCTCCCAAAGTGCTAGGATTACAGGCGTGAGCCACCATGCCCAGCCAACCCCACAATATTTTTAAGGCAAATGTAGAAAATGTTTGCCTTATAATAAAACAATAATTGGATTAAATCAGTTTAATCTTTAGTAAAGAGATTATAAAATTTTCCTAACTCTAAGTAGAAAAACAGCAAAGTAGTCATATTATTTTCTGTATACATAGATGACGCTGTGAGAAGCATATACTGGCTGTCAACTTCTAACCGATGGATTGATCTTGGACCTCTACTTGACCTCCAGATGCCCGGGTCCAGGGTGCCCCAGCACTGTGCTGAGGCAGGAAGCCTGCACAAGAACTAACATTTACAGTGCACCCATGAGGGATGGAGCAAGGTAGAGTTAGGTAACTTGAATACGTTTTTGTGGTTTTTGATGTCACAAAATGAATATCAAAAAAGGAGAAACCATAGACATGTTTGAAGTAGTATTTCCAAAGGTCTGTAAACGTGCTCCAGTGATGTAAAGTTGGTTGGGAGGCGTAGTGAGGTCACTGGACCCCAAGATGTAAGTTCCCAGTTTTTGTGGCTTATCAGTTATGACTCAGGGAAGAGCCAAGCAGCTCTGCCTTTGGTCCTCTTCTTCTCAGTCACCATCCACTGAGTTGCTCAAAGCCAAAGCCTTTGGAATCTTTCTTGGTTATTCCCTTTTCTTCATTCCTCATATCCAATCCACTGGCAGGTTCTCCTGACTCTGGTTCTAAACCATATTCCAAATCCAGCCCCTTCTCCCATTCTCTACTTCATGCCTTGGCCCAAACCACCACTGCCTCCCGCCCAGCCCTCTGCAGTTGCTTCCCAACTAGTGTCCCTCATCAAGGGCCACAGCCTCCCACATCCGACTCTTGCAGTGGCCTAGACAGTGCTGTGTAACTGTCCCTGACAACCTAATATGGTTTTGCTGTGTCCCCACCCAAATCTCTTCTTGAATTCCCATGTATTGTGGGAAGGACCCGATGGTAGGCAATGGAATCATGGGGGCAGATCTTTCCAGTGCTATTCTCGTGATAGTGAGTAAGTCTCACGAGATCTGATGGGTTTAAAAAGAGGAGTTTCCCTGCACAAGCTCTTTCTCTCTTTGCCTGCCACCATGTAAAATGTGACTTGCTCCTCCTTTGCCTTCCGCCACAATTGTGAGGCTTCTCCAGTCATATGAAACCATAAGTCCATTAAACCTCTTTTTTTTCCCAGTCTCGGGTACATCTTTATCAGCAGCATGAAAACGGACTAGTATACACAACCTCTCTGCTCAGTTGCCCTGTCTCCCACCATGCTCAAGGCACACTGGCCTTTTCTGTTTCTGGAACATGCCAAGCTCCTCCTGTTTTTGAGTCTTAACACTAACTTCTCTGGAATGCTCTTCCTCCTGCTCTGTGCCTGTCCTACTCCTTCTTGTCATTTTAAAATGTCAGTTTAAATGTCATCTCCTTGGTGAGGCCTTCTCTGATGTCCCAAGCTAAAGCAGCCACACAGACTTTCTCTATCACACCACTCTTGTTCTCTGCATAGCACGTCCCTAAGTGCTCATTTTCTGTCTTTCTTCCCACTCCCCCCTCCCTCATTCTCTTCCAGGAAAGCAGGGCCTTCATTCTCTTGCTCATGGATGTTTCCTAGAGTTTAAAATAGTTCTTGGCATAGGGTAGTAGGTGTTCAATAAACATCTGACAAGCAAAGTGCCTCATCCAACAAGGCAGGAGTGGGCATATTTTTCACAAGATTACACTTAACATATTTAGCAGACGTGGCAACAAAAACACATACACACATCCTCACACAATGATGATTTTATAGGTTTTAGCCAAATAACAGGACTTCACTCTTGCTCGGGGTGCAGCCCTGGACCCTGAATTACATGTCAAAGGCAGGAAGTAAATATAAGCTTGAAAATTACAGTAGGCTGTGTGGTAATTACAAAGGAGAATCCAGACATGGTCTTGTGGTCAGAAAATACATTTGGTACTGGCCACGCACAGCCCTAGAATTAGTCACTTATCTGTCTTCAGGCATCCCAAATTTGGCTACCAGTTAGAAAGTTTTATGCCAGCTGGGAATCAAATTTGATTGCTATGTACTTTTTCAATTAGGCTGGAACATTTTTTTCTTTCTTTTTTCTTTGATAGAGACAAGGTCTCACTGTTGCTGAGGCTGGTCTTGAACTCCTGGCCTCAAGGGATCCGCTCTTACCTTGGCCTTCCAAAGTTCTGGGATTGTAGGCATGAGCCACTATGCCTGGCCTAAGCCTGAACATTTTCCTAAAAGCACTTTTCTCTTGAAACTATGAAAGTAGCATATGAAGAAAACACTTTACAAACATTTGTTGCCTGCTTGAAATGCTTATTTGACTGCCCGTATTATTTTACTTGCACTATTCCAAAGACAGTTTATTTGGAAAGGCTGAGCTGGTGCATGGAAAATTTGGGGGCCATGCTAATATGCAAAAGCACATTGATTCCAAGTTTGAAATTC